ATGCCCAAGTCTCTTCTTAAAATGGTGTAGAATTTGCATGCTACTATCCTTCAGCATACATTAATTATATCATCTCTGGATTGCTTATAATGTGTAATCTCTTGATTATGCTCTGTAGGTTAGGGAATAATGATGGAGAAATGCCTTTACATGTTCACTGTAGACAGAATCTGCTTCTCTCCATGAATATTTTTGGTCTGTACTTGATTGAATCTGCAGGTGTGAGACTTAAGAATGCCAAGAGCCAACTGTACTGATAAACTAGCATGCTACTTGGCACTGACATGGCACTCAAAAAGTTTATATTTTGGAGCATTTCAAAATTCGGACTTTTTATATTTGGGTTGCTTAACTAGTAAAATCTCTGTCAATAGTTTAAAATCCAATAAGCTTCAAAATTTGAAATAGGTCTAGTCCCAAAGATTTTGAATAAGGAATACTTTATTTCTTTTTTTGGGGGGGGGCGGGGGAGGTCCGGTCGCGGGGCCTGAACTCTGGGTCTGGGTGCTGTCCCTTAGCTCTTCAGCTCAAGGCTAGCACTCTACCACTTGAGCCACAGCGCCACTTCCGGCTTTTTTCTTTTTTGCTTATGTGGTGCTGAGGAATCGAACCCAGGGCCTCAGGTATGCAAGGCAAGCGCTCTACCACTGAGCGGCACCTTCCCAGCCCAAGGAATACTTTATTTCACAATAACTAATATTCACAATGTTTAGTAAGTTAAGATCTGCATTGCCCCTCAGTGCAGAAAGGAAAAATCTAAAAAGAAATTCTGATACAACAAAATTAGGAACCTGAAAATAACCCTTTAGAACCTTAAGCTTTTACTAAAAAGGTGAAGTGTTTCCACTTTATATGGTAGAATTCCAGCAGAGCAAGTTCGTGGCTCTGAGTTCAGACAATTCCCTGGTACCAAGAGGGGGAAAAGGTTATAGATTCTTTCTTAATACTCTATACCTTTCAATGGTTTTTGTTCTTAAGTTCTGGCATACCTCTGTTCTAAATTGTGTTGAATGTTTTTAATGTTTTGATGAATAAACTCGCTAAAACACATAATTTAAAATTAAGTCTAAATACTCATTTTAAAATAACTTGAAGTATAGTGATACCAGCATTCCTAGCATGTGGAAAACTGAAATAGAAGGATCTTGAGTTTGAGGCTATGTAAAGAGGAGACAGTCTCTAAATCAGTTGATCAGCTCCTCTTTCTCACTTGGGAATATTATTGCAATAGACAATATCTTCTTCTAACCTAAGCTTTAGCAGCTACTATAGTTTACCTTTTTTTTCAGGATCACTTTCCAAACAGTATTATGGGTAGCAAAGATTCTATTGGGAGGGAGGAATATACGGTGATTCCTCTCCTATTACGGGAGTTACGTTCCAGAAACTCCTATGATAGGTGAAAATCTGCAAAGTAGCAGCAATTATATTATTTATATTTTAAAGCCTTATAAACCCCACTCTCCTATAAACCTTTCCTACTCTTATTAACCTTTTCCACACTCTTACAAACATTTCATATTCTCTTAAACATTTTCTACACTCTTAAACCTACGTAATTTTAATAACATACAAAATTCTATATGGGTACTCAACAGTGAAGTATACTACAACCTGAATTATGTAGCTGTGCAGTACTGATGACAATGAAGGTGATGACTACGAGATCAATGTAATGCACAGCCAAGAAGGGCTTCATTAGGTAGTACAGTATCTTCACCCTGGGCTGTAACTTCTACTAAAGGCATAGGTGTAAGTGATCTCTTAATTCAAATGATGAATATAGTTAGAGGGAGTTGCTTTGAGTGAGAAGCTTTTTATAAACTGACTGCCACTCTTGATTGTATTTACAAAGTGCAACCAATGAAGCATCTGGGGGTCCCCTTCTTCAGCTACTCACTGAAGTTCTTCGGGCAGTTTCACCTTGGTTGCAAGATGATCAAGTGTTAGGCCAACTTCCTCCTCTTCTCCAACCCATAGTTCAAATTGTTCCCCATCCTTTTCACTTGCTGACTTCATGTCGTCCATCTTAAAAACTTGTTCAGGCTTATAGTCCCTTTCCTTGATGATGGATTTGAACATGTCATTATGTGGTCCTTAGCTCCAGCTTTATCTGCAGAGGCAGCTTCTCCATGCAGAGAAATGCTCTTGAGTCCAAAGCATCTTTGAAATTTATCAAACCAGCCCTTGCAGGCTCTGAATGGGGTTGTTCTGGTGAGAGAAGCACTTGACGGCCCTGTTTCTACATTGTTGTCCTTGTCTTCATCCTCATCACTGTTGTGAAAGTCCATGCTTTCTGCAAAACTGCCATGTTTTTTGGCCTTTGTCCAGATGGTGATGGTATCCAATGAGATATTATTAGTTCTGCAGTCATTTATCCCCAGGGCCAATGCATGCTTCATTCTCACAATGACCTTATTGTGGGAAGTGGTCACCCTCTTTGTAGTCTTGGTTAAAAGTCATAGTTGCTCCCTGGGTGCTGGTGGCTCAAGCCTATAATCCTAGCTACTCAGGAGGCTGAGATCTGAGGATCATGATTCAAAGCCAGTCCAGGCAGGAAAGTCTGTGAGACTTTATCGCCAATAAACCACTAGAAAACCAGAAGTGGAGCTGTGGCTCAAGTGGTAGAGCCCTAGCCTTGAGCTGAAGAGCTGAGGGAGAGTGCCCAGGCCCAGAGTTCAAGCCCCACGACCAACCAAAAAAAGAAAAAAGGAAAAGTTATTGTTGCTGAAGACATATTCTTCTCATTTCTTTTTGTAGCCAACAGTAGATAATGGCAGCCTACAGCTGCATAGCTTTTGCCTTCCTTTAACATGTCAAGATTCTTTGATGGTAAGCGTTTTCCTCTGGTGCTTGGGTTCACTGCCAAAAGCCTTAGAAGGTGCAGAATGTTTGCGTGGCATCGTAGGGCTTGAAATGAATTCAAACTTCTACGTAAATTTCACAAAAATACAACACTGTAGAGCAACACTACATGCATCGATCACATGTTGATGTGAAATGGACAAGGAGACATGCTGAATGTTATGGGCACAGTGTGAGGAGAGCAGACAGGTGCTATGTTACTGAGCCAATCAGTGTCCAGGATACAGAACACAGTGCTGTGGTTGGTCACCTTCCAATCCATCAGCCAATAGAGTGCTGTGTACAAACTTGTACAAGCAGTAGTAGCATACTGTGCATTTCCATTGTGTTCAGTATGGTATTCATCTGCTGAAGAAATACATACTGTATTATATTTGGATTTAATATTTTAATGTTTGAATTAACATTTTTATTTGTAAGTTTGGGTTTTCCTCTATAATATGAGAATATAGCCATTTATATATACTGTCTGTATTAAATGGGAATATATAGAATCAAGCACCTCACAGAAAGTAGAGAGGTAATGAGATATTAATGAGAATCCTAGTGGATAGAATTAAAAAACAGATTGAAGAGAGACTATGGTATTTTCTTTATAGTTTTCCTGTTGAGAAATAATCCTATTGTGTGGTAAACAAATGGTGGGGGGATGTGAAGTACAAAATAATGTGCTTTGTGCAATTTGGAGAACTGCATCCAGGTTTCTGGTATGTGTTTGTTCACTGGGTTCTTCCTTCTACTGTTGGGAAAATTATTTTCTGGGAAAGATCAAAAAAAAAATTCAATACATAGTGCCATTGTGCCCTTTTTCTTTTCTTTTTTTTTTTATTGGTCATGGGGCTTGAACTCTGGCTGTGCGCTCTGTCCCTCAGCTCTTCAGCTCAAGGGGGACACTCTAGCACTTGAGCCACAACAACACTTCGGTTTTCAGGTGCTTAGAGGTAAGAATCTTAGGAAATCCAGGCAGAAGCCTGGTGGCCTGTGAGACCCTTATCTCCAACTAACTACCAGAAAAGTGGTAGAGTGCTGGCCTTGAACTGAAGAGCTGAGGGACAGCTCCCAGACCCAGAGTTCAAGCCCCACAACCAAACCAAGAAAAAAGAATCTCAAGGACTTTCCTGCCCAGCCTAGCTTTGAACCCCATCCTCAGATCTCAGCCTCCTGAGTAGCTAGGATTAGGCGTTAGCCACAGCCACCTGGCCCTTGTGCCCTTTTGACATATAGATACTTCAGGACAAGGACTAAACAGTTTTTTGTTTTTTTTTTCTTAAGTTTTAAATGGCTATAAAAATGGGTTTTCATTGAGCATAAATAGTTCTTTCATATAGCTTCTTAACAGATTTTTAAAAATTTATAGCCTTTCTAGATAGGAAGATAGGATTACTTAATTTCTTCAGTGAAAATTGATTTCTACTTCTATGAAGCATTTTCACCTTAAAATATGAAGCAAAAAAGAAAAATTTGAATGAGTAGTGAATAAATTTGGCAACTTAGAAATTGTTAATATTTTAAAAGATTTTTATTGTTATTATAAAGGTGATGTACAGAAGGGTTAGTTATATTTATGTAAGTAAGGAATACCTTGGACAATGTCACCCCTTCCCTTGCTCTCTCCTAATTTGCAATTTTAAAATTTGTTTAAATTTCTTTACATTCTAGAAAATATATCTGTGTAGTCTTGGCAGAAAACAGTAAACAGTACCTTAAGTTTTAAAGTCTCAAAAAATACTTCACCTTCCTTTTTAAATCTCTTAGGAGTATACTGCAGACATTTTTTTTTTTAATTGCAGCCTCATTATAGGGTTAAACATTTGCTGTATTGTGGCATACGAAAGCAGTTAAGCTGTTTGGAATTGTTTACTTGCTAAAACCAGTGTTAGTCAGAAGGAGCAGTACACCAGATTTCCTTGTGGCTTTTAGTGGAAAATGTTAAAAGCACACTCATTTTTCAGTTACAGAAATTTTCAGTTTGATCTGGATTAGTCACAGAACTGGCATGAACCTTCTAATTGTGAAGGCTGTCCAAATGCACTATTTTTTTTCTCCTGTGAGAGGAAGTCACATCCTGAGCAGTAGCTCAGCTCTCTGGTAAGTGTAGCATGTGAGCATTACTAAGGCATTTCATCCTGCGGGTCTGCAGTTTCTGCTCTTCGGACTGTTGCTCTGTTGGAATGCTTCTGTGGGGCTAATTCTGAAGCTCTATAGATATTTTTTTAAGGACCTACTCATTTGAGGATGTCAGCGGCATTTTGCAAGATCTTTTGAGGAACAGGAAAGCATCTGAAATCAACCGAACAAGATAACTGTGACGGTTTTTCATTGTGGAAGGAAACTATATTGGCACGGAGGTAGCTGATTGAATAAAGTTGTTGGCTCAAAGAAGATGCACAGTCTGCTGTTTTTTCCCTCTGAATGAAGACTATTTAATGGAAGCTGTATTCATGTGGCGATCAAAGGAAATATTGGAATGATAAACTGCTGGGATTTTTTTTCCCTTTCCTTTTTAATACAAAAACTCTGAAGCTGTAATTTGAGCTCAAAGGTCTAATTCCTTCGCAGCCTGCTTGTTCTATTAGGATTCTCCAGTATCACCATTTTTGCCTGTTATCTGTGCCTTTTTGTTGGAGCAGCCACAGACAACTGCCTGATGGAGAAAGAATGAAAACTCCGCCTTGCTTATATTACCTATTGGAATAAAGCAGTTTGTATTTCTTCTATTATAGGGGAAATCTGGATTAATCAAGCTATATTCTTGTGCCAAGAGTCCTATTGTCTCTTGTGGTCTGACTCATCACATGTAAATGTACTGCAGCTTTGCTATTAATGCAGAGTGGCTTTTTTCCCCCCTTTTCTCTTTTCCCAAACACAGAAGGAATTGTCTGTCAACCTCTGAGCTTTATTTTCAGGATTTGTGCTGAGCTCTCTTTTTGCCTGTTTGTTTCCTGAATAATGTCTTCATTAAATCAGTGAAGCTGAAGAAATAAAGACAAGTTAGAAGTCGAAGCAGAATAGTGAGATTTTATTTTTTATTTTCAATTATAAAAGGAAGTCAGCCTACTGGTAACTGTATGACCTTGCAGTCAAATGTTGGGGATAGCTGTGATCATCTCTTATCATAGCAGTCATTTCATTCTTTATCTCATGGTGGTGTGTTACCCCAAACAATGATTGTTTTGTACTAGTAAATTTTACAGTGCAATATGACTGTTTTGGTAGGAAAAAAATATTTTAAAGTGAGCTTATCCTGAACTGTTTTAATGATTGACATATTGATGTGTAGTATTTTTTTATATATTGCAGCAACCCAACATCAAAGAGTAGAATTTTGTTAATTTTTAGGAATTTTAGAAATTACATATCATAATTTTAAACTTGGTTTCTCTGATAGCACTTAATACTATAAGTGTACTATTCAGAGAATGTTTGTAAGTGTTGTACAGAAGAGGAAGAAAAATTACTTGTACCCTTCCAACTGTCACATAGCTTGGAATTTAATGTTTTAAAAGAGCGAATGAGTCGAGTGTGTATTGTTGTCTTGGAGGAGGTTGAAGATGATTCTCCTGAGTTCATTTCTAAATTGCCACAGGAAAATAAATCCCTACATTCTTCACCTTCTGGAAATGTATTGGTAAGATTTGAGAATTTGTGTTTCCTATATTCTACTGACCTACTAGTAGTGTAAATTTTAGTTTTTAAGAATGGAGTTGGTTTCCACTAGTTTCATTAAAAACTTATACTAATATTGGTGTCAATATGTTGCTGTATTATATATAAAATAAACACATTTCTGGTTTTTACTTTTTCAAATGCTTAGGTAACATTTCAGAATTAAATCTCTTTAAAAAAGACTTAAGAAAAGCATTATGACACTTTTTCATTTTGGGTTTTTGAACTGATATAACAAAAGTCAGGAACTGCATATGTTAGGAAAGGTTAACTATTACCAGCAACATCCAAAACCTAGCCTTTCCCTTAAAGGATTTTATGTATTTATGTGTGTAAGAGCATGTATGAAAAAGAATCACACACTGTATCTTTAACCTTATTTTTAATACTGTTGACAACTGGCTCCTTATTTAACTAGTATAATATGATACCTTACAGAAGTGGTGGTGTTGATTAGTAAATTATATTTAGACATGCATATGATTTTCTTTTCATGTTATTCAAGTATACAGTATTTTTGGTTTTTGAGTAGCAGTTCATGATCTGCCAACTTTACTTACGTGGGATTTGTATCTTTATGCATATAATGCTAATTGGTACATGTTATTTTCATCCCTTAAACAGACCTTTTCAAAAGGATCTCCTATCATGCGCCTCAGCATGGCTGGAAATTGCTTGTTCAGTATGTTCTGTTTCACAACTAGATGTTGAGAGACTTATATCTGTAAGTCTTTTCATCATATAGAAACAAAATATTTCCACTTATAAGAAATAAAATCTGATTGTGTTTATTATACTAATTAATTTTTGTCAAACTGAACATATATACATTTATAAATTAAGTTCTCCTCTCCGAATTCCCTGACAAAGATGTACTTGGATATCATTTGGTTTCATGAAATGTAAAAAAAATTAATGATACGGAGGAGAAAAATACCCTAAAGTTGTATGGAAATGTTTTTAGAATTACTTAAGTAGTATGACTAACATTTATATAATTATTTTATATTTTAGCCATCATTGGTGCAGGCTATATTTAATGGAGATCCAGATGAAGTTCGAGCACTGATATTTAAGAAAGAAGATGTCAACTTTCAGGTAAAAACAGTTAATTCATTGATCCCACTCTTTAAACTTACTTTTTAATACTCTTTTCCTAGAACTGTGATTTTTTTGTTGTTGTTGTTTAAAATCATAATTCTATACTAGTCGTTTTAAATGAGGGCAGAAGAGTCTTTGGTTGAAAAGAGATGTACTGGACATACATTCAGAGTAATAATTGAAAGTACATGAACACTAAAACAATTGAGTACTTGTTCTTCCAGCTTTTTTCTTTGAAAATTCTCAAACACAGAAACAATACTCTCCACAAAGGTTGTGAGAGTATTCTGAAGTGTTCGACATTGATAACCTTTTGCCATATTTACCTCGTTACATGAACAGAGATTATGTATGTAGTAATATACATACAAAACAAAACAAAACATGTATAATATATTAATAATGCAATGTATGTATTACATATATTTTGTGTTCGTATATGATTTATATTTTATGTATGCACGCAGATTCACACTTTTTCTTGTTTTACTGAACTTCATTTGAAATTAAGTTTCAGAAATCATGGCACTTTCTATATACATTTCAAGTGAGGGTTCTTTTTGGTGAACTGAAATAAAAGATTTCTGTAAAGTTTGTAATATGTCTAACTTCATTATAATACAAGACTTATTTTCTTAATTGTACTGAGTTTTACGAAGACTTTTTTGTCTTTATTATTTTCAATAAGTGATACTCATTGTTTAAAAATCTTTCAAACTGGGCTGGAAAGGTGGCTCAGTGGTAGAATGCTTGCCTTGCATGCATGAGGCCCTGGATTCAATTACTTAGCACCACATAAGTAGAAAAAGCTGGAAGTGGCGTGGGTCAAGTGGTAGAGCACTAGCTTGGAGCTAAAGAGCCTCTGAGGGACAGAGTTCAGACCCTACACCTGACCAAAATTAAAAAACAAACAAAATCTTTTCAAACTTGCAGATAAAGTTAGTCTTATACTCAGAACTGACTTTTGCAGGGTAGTTTAAAAAGAGTAGAAGTAAGGCATTTGATTCTTTATAAATTTTTTGAGTGGCCAGTTTTTTTCTCTCCTTGATAAACAGTTTCATTACATAGCCCAGGCTGCTGTCAGGGTCATAATACTTTTTATTAACATACTAAATTGTAGATAAGATCAGCTTCATTAATTTAATGTAGATAGCTCTGAGTTAAAGTGAGGAGTAAAGATTCATAACATTTCTGTAGCATCACAAGAACGTGTTCTAGAAGTTTTTGGTAGTTCATAGAAAATATATACTACAAGATTATTTTGAACTCTGATTTTTTTTTCTGTCATATAGTACTGTGGCCTCTTAATGATACAAAAAGTTCTTCCCTTATTTTAAAATTTGGATTATTTGAATGGATTTGAACCATCATTGACTCTATCATTAAATGTTGATCAGAATTTGCCATTATATTTTTTCTTAAGTCTTTTCTAAGTGGATTGCTTCTAGGTTTACATTTAGTTACATACATCAAATTCAGCATTTATTTTAAATGGAGTGTCTTTACCTAATTAGTGTGTCCCAATAAGTCTGCTTTTCTTAGAACAAAAGAATAGCTTTAGGGGTATAAACTTAGAACAAGAGGAAAACAAGCTGTGTTCTGGGGCGTTTGTGCTTGTTTAACAACACAAATCTTACCTTCATGATCAATAACTTTAAGCCATGTCTCACCTGCAGCTTTTTTTTTTTTTTTGTTGGTCGTGAGGCCTGAACTCTGGGCCTGGGTACTGAACCTCAGCTCTTCAGCTCAAGGCTAGCGCTCTGCCAGTTGAGCCATAAGCACCACTTCTGGCTTTTTCTGCTTATGTGGTGCTGAGGAATCGAACCCAGGGCCTCATGCATGCAAGGCAAGCGCTCTACCACTGAGCCACCTTCCCAGCCCGACTTGCAGCTTTTTCACAATTACAGACCTTGTTAGAGCTGGCATTGCTTTTTTTGCAGTATTTAACTAAAGCATTTTTATATTTTAAAAACTTGCTGAGTCATTATTTTGAGCATTTGTTTACTCCTCAGTGCCTTTCCCCTTTTTGCCATGTTGGGGTTTGAACTGGGCCTTGGACCCAATGCCTCTCCCACTCTTAGCTAGCCCTCTCCCACTTCCTTTTTGTTTGTATACGTTTTTTTGTTTTTTGGGGTTTTTTTTTTTGTCTGTATTGAGCAGACGGCCTGGGTGCTGTCCCTCAACTCCTTTGTATAATCATTAAAAGAATTCAGTTTACTATGTTACATGAAATGCTTAGCAAAATAGATGTGTGTTCAGTAGATTATTAGTTTTGTTATCAGGATATTACTTTGGGCGATTCACAAAAAGTAGTAAACCTAATAAGTAAGTTTCCATGGATTCTTTGAGTGCCACTTACTTCTAGGCTTCACATAGTATTTTCTTGTCTTTTCTGGAAATAAGGAATAAGTTCTCTAGTCTTCAATAAATTTTTCCTGGAAGCCACACATCATTTCTGCTGGTTGTCAGTACAGCAGACTATAGATTTTTCCAAGCTTTAAAACCTCTTCACTCATTACTTGAGGTCATTTGCAATGTCTTCTAAAACTTACTTTAAGTAATTGCTTACAGCCGGATTACAAAGATACTCCCGGGAGTATCTTTGCCCAGCTTCCACCTAGCTTGTATGGAACATAGAATGGAGGAGGACTGTGGGAGAACCACCAACTCAGCTGTCATTCCAGAGGAGAATTTCTTGGTGGTTTTTTCATGCCTAGAAATAACATTTTCCCACAACTGTAGTGAGTGCCTCTGGATTCCAGTTTCAAATTAAAAAAAAAAAATTTATGGGAGGGGGAGTGTAGTTGTGGAGGTGGGAGGGAAGGAATGGTAGGGGAAAAACAAAGGAGGAGGCAACAATACTTGATAAGAAATGTACTCATTACCTTGCTCGTGTAACTGTAACCCCTCTGTACAGTATTTTCACAATAAAAAACATTAAAATACTTACTAATCATAAATGTGTATATACATAATAACTAAGCCTCAAAAGATGTGATATAAAATAAAATGATACCATTAAAAAAAATGTTAACAAGTGTTCAGATTTCCCCCCCAAGCTCCAATTAGCATGTGTCTTCTGTCCTTGTGACTAGGTAGCTTTTATGGTGGTGCTGATATAAAAAAGATACTGTACAATAGACAGTACTTTTTATAATCTGGAGCTATGAATTACATACTTTTGTAATGTCATATGTTTATTTTTAGTAACCTTATGGTATATATAGTTATATACCTTTTTTTTTTTTTGGTCGTTTGTAGGGCCTGAACTCTGGCCTGGGCACTGTCCCTTGGCTCTTCAGCTCAGGGCTAGCACTTTACCACTAGAGTCATAGCTCCACTTCTGGCTTTTTCTGCTTATGTGGTGCTGAGGAATCGAACCCAGGGCCTCATGTATGCAAGGCAAGCATTCTACCACTGAGCCACCTTCCCAGCCTATTCATATACTTTTTATATTATTTATTTATTTATTTTTGCCAATCCTGGGGCTTGAACTCAGCATCTGGGCACTATCCCTAAGCTGCTTTTGTTCAAAGCTAACACTCTACCACTTGAGCTACAACACCACTTCTAGCTTTTTCTGTATATGTGGTACTGAGAAATTGAACCCAGGGTTTCAGCGCTAGGCAAGCACTTTACCACTAAGCCACATTCCCAGCCTGAGAGTCTTATTTTTTATATCTGTATAGTATTTGGTATAGTATTCATTCCATAATTTATTCAATCAGATTCCTTTTATTTAGGGTATCTTGTTACTAATTTTATTCATTGGTAATAAGTGGAGTCTTTTCATCAAGTGGACAGAAATTCTGCATCAGTAGACCAGTAATACTTGTATATGGAGCTTGGTTTTAGTATTGTATTTAAAAAGTCTCTATCCCATAGTCAGGTAGTTTTTCTTTTGTCTTCTGGAAGTTTAATAGTTTTTAAGTTTTACATTTAAATTTACAACCTATTTTGACTATATTGTATATGATACAAGCTATATTTCAAAGTTTTTAAACACAGATATATCTAGTTGTTAGAATATCATTTGTTGGGGGGAAAGGGTACTTTCTCCAATGAACTGTCTTTGCATATTTTCCAAATTTCTGGTGTTCACCTATATTTGGGTTCATTTCTGGACTCTGTATTTGTGTATCTTGATGCCAATTCCACACAATTTGATCATGTAAGTCTTGAAAGCAACTTTTAGTGGGTTTTAGTGGTACATGTCTGCTTAGCATTAGGCCCTGGGTTTGATTCTTCAGAACCATAAAGTCACCAGCCTCATTTTTACTCAAAATTCTTTTAACTATTCTAGGACCTTTAAACGCTGTCCATGTAAATTTTATTTTTTTGTTTTTTTTTTGTCGGTCGCGAGGCTTGAACTCTGGGCCTGGGCGCTGTCCCTCAGCTCTTCAGCTGAAGGCAAGTGCTCTACCACTTGAGCTACAGCGCCACTTCTGGTTTTCTGGTGGTTTATTGGAGATAGGAGTCTCACGGTCTTTCCTGCCCGGGCTGGCTTTGAACCGCGATCCTCAGATCTCAGCCTCCTGAGTAGCTAGGATTACAGGCGTGAGCCACCAGCGCCCGGCTCCATGTAAATTTTAGAATCAGCTTCTCAATTAATTCTAAAGAAGGTGGTGGGGTGAGGGGGGGAGGGGGAAGAATGAGCCTTTTAAAATTTATGGATCAGTTTGCCAAGAATTAACCAATACTTCATCCCCAGGTTTGAATTCAAGGCCGTGTGCTACTTGTTCAACATTTTGGGTTTGGGTTTTGGTTTTATGGTCAATCTTGGAGCTTGAACTTAAGCCCTGGGCACTGCCTTTTTGCTTCTTTGCTCAAAGCTAATGCTGTACCACTTGAGCCACAGTTTCGTTTCAGGCTTTTTTGGTGGTTTAACTTTTCTACCTGGTCTGGCTCCAAATTGCAATCCTTAGATCTCAGCCTCCTGCATGAGCCACCAGCACCAATAAATTGTGCTTTTGATATTGCATCTAAGAACTCTGTGC